ACTTTTCAGAAAACTGGTGTCCTAACTTCTAACTTTTTTGTGGATATTTTTTATCTTTAAGTTCCGGTTAGTCTGCCTTGAGATTTTTTTTTTTTTTTTTAAATTGAAAACAAAAGTATTGGCATAATTGACTGAAACCTGTTTGAGTTCGATCAGTGTAGCATTTTGTAAGTACAGGACACTTTTGCCAGCTCTAGCTGTGAAGAGTTTTCTTTACTTAAGTATCAAGTTATTAACACAAGCTCAACAGGTGCTACTTCTGAATTATGGTTGATTACACAGTCACTTTAGTTTGAATAAAGGTCCAGGATAAAATGCTTCATGTTATTTTTCAGGTACCACAAAATCCCAAGTCGTTTTTGGTTTTTTTTCCCACTTTGGTGCAAGCATTGTGTGTATGATTTCTGACTGATGGGAAGAATTGGTGCCAGGTTACCTGTTGTGCATATTACACCGTGAAGAATTCTAGATTAAATCTGTGGAATTCTTCAGAAAAAAATGTATGAGAATGTAGCATATTCAGACTTCAGAATGACACTATAGCAAAGCATTTTTTTAATCCACTGAATGCAGTAGTTTTAATTTCACCATATCTGACATCATCACATTGCCATTGCTAATGGAGGGGAACAAAACTTGAAGGTGAGTCTCCACTACAAATACATTTATCTTTGGAATAGACTAATGTGCCAATTCTGGTTTTAAAGGAAAAATAGTTTGCATACCTGACATCTGAGCCCTTTGAATCCTAAAGATGTGTTTAGCATGCAGAAAAGTGGGAGAAAAACCTCTGAATCTTAAGATAAAAGCTTGAGGAAATAAGGAAGGGAATACAAACTAAGGCAGTCACAAGGGAAAACCTCTTGAAGTAAAAGCTTAGAAGTAAAAACTGTGTGCAATTCTTCTGCTCTCTTTAACATAATGAAGTATAGAACTTGCATTGTGGTATAACACTGCAGAAGGGACAGCTCAATATAAAGTAATTAATGAATGTTGACTGGAGGGTATAGAGAGAAGATGCTTAGAAGACTTGGTGTATTCATTCTTAGCCACAAAGACAGGGAGAAGGAAAGAGAGCAAAAGATAATAAGCAATCTGTGAATTCTGCTCAAATAGTCTAAAAATTAGTTACAAAACTAGTAAAACTCCAGTAAAGAGAATGGCTTTTTTATGTCTTCCAATTCATACACAGATTTACAATAAAATTTGCAAGCAGTAATTGAACTGCTTTTCAACTTTTGTGTGGGACATTTGGTCCCTTTCTCAGCTGAGCAGAGACATTCAGGTTTTAGCACTTGCAGAAGCACTGTGTGTCAGGGTAGCACCATTGCTGATCTGTGCACAGGGGTCTCAGTAGGGCACCAGTGGTCTCTCCCACTTCCTGTAGACTATGAAGCCAACAGCCCCATCTGTGCACTTCCAACATGCGTTTGGAATTGCATCAAATAAATTTAGTCCAAACTCAATAGGAGTTTTGCCATAAACTGTCATGAACTTTTACAGATTTAGTATTTATCATCCTTGCGGATCTGTGAATCTCACTGTTAAGGGGGGGAAAAAAAAAGAAAAAGAGAGACCATACAAATTTTGTGAAGTACTCATTGTATAAAGGATAAATGAGTATAAGCATATGTTACCTTTCCATGAACAGACTTGCATATGCACAAAACTTTCATTAGAAGTTGTCTTGGAAGCATGTAGAGCTTCCAGTATAGCATTCAGACCACTAAATTAGACTTTCTCTTTTTTCCCTGTCCCCCTTTGTTTTTTGTGAAGTGACAAGCTGGGAGTAAATATGCTCCTCAGTTCCTGTCTTCTCCATTTTACTGTTCCCCTTTCTCAAGAGTTTGGAGGGAGTCATTGTTAAACAGTGATACTCATTCTGCCTTTGTGGTGCATAAAATGTGAAGCAATTGCCTTCATCTGAAAGGCAGAAAGTTAGAAGGGGAGAAGTTATCGGAAAATACAGAGAGCGAATAACTATATAAATAAACCATCTGGTAACATGTTAAGGAGTTTATGGCACATCTTAGCACTAGTTTTGTTGTACTGAGAAAACCATAAAAGAGTGAATTTTCTTTTTGTAGAAGTCTCTATTACCTATTCTCTGTTTCATTGTTCCTGTATTTTGTAGACTCTCCTCCTAAATTAGCATGGTTTGTGATGGGAGGTGGAGGAGGCTTTTTCTTCTTTTACACAGCTCAGCTGTCCTCTCATCAGTTACCTTCGCATCGCAGGCCGGCAGCAGCCTTCCACAAAACCCCAGAGCTGCTCAGAGCTCTGTTTTTGCATCTAGTCAGAGATAGGTTTGAAGCAGGTCACATTGGCCCCAACAGAGTAGGAATGAGCAACAGGCATCAGCTACAAACATTATACGTTGGTTCTTATACTGGGCTGAATCTTTGCTATTCTTGCATAGTGATTCAGTTTTAGGTGGCATTCTATGTGAGGGCAACGAGAAAAGGAGGCAGGTAAAGAGGGAAAGAAGGACTGCTGGACTAATCGCACGAATACATGGAAGACTGGAGGAGAATTGGATTTCTAGTGTCATTCTCAAAGAGGTGGACATGTGAGTGGGGAAATGTAAAGATCAAGTGTGACTGATAGACACGAATATCTGACTATTAGTGATTTTATAATACGGTTTTGTGCTTACAAGGTTCTTGGGTAATCTGTCGTCGTGTAGATCATAATTAATCACGTGCTCTGTTGTAAGGAAATGTTCTGATGAACACCCAGCAGGGGAGAACGCTGCAGAGTGAAGTGAGGGCTTGAGACAGGTAAGCATGCCAGACGGTGTTTCAGATGGGCTCCGTTGCGCTATCTTCCAGGAACAAGTGTGTGGGATGCAGTAGTATTTTAAGCAACAGGCTCATTTGGACTAACAGAACTGTATGCATCTGAAACAAGAATTTAAAAGGTGAGGTAACCATTTGACAGGTAGTGCTTTGTTGTCGCTCATCTGATAATTTTGTTGTGAAATGTTTTTACGCGTTGTCCAAAATGTCACTGACTGCAGCATCAGATAAGATGGTTTCTCAGGTGCTTCTCATAAAGAACTTGTGCAAAACTGCTTCAAGGAAAAGTGATTGTTTTACTCACAGATGGAAATTTCTTGCAATACTTGAGGGCTACAGTTATAGAAAATTAGTTTCTGTAATTTTTATACCGTCATTAAATAGCCAAGAACATCAGAGCACTGACTCGCTAGTAAAGGTTTAGAATAGGTCTGCAATCTGCCCTCGTCGCACCCCTCACCCCCCTCCCTCCCATTATTTAGCAATCTGCTTAGTGTAAAATCATTGGAAATCATTTGTCTTCAATCAGTGGAAAATCATTTTGTGTTAAATAATGTGATTTTTCCTTCATTTGGGAAGAGGGGGAAAAAAGGAAGAGGGGACGTGGAATTCAAATTTGAAGTACCAAGTTGTTCCCCACAGTATTCTGGATTTAAAGGAGAGTTTTGACAGGCAGTCTGGCCCCTTGATGTGCAGTATCCAGTCGTGTTTCTCTCCCAGCCTTCAGATTGCACCCTGTTACTGTAGGAAAATCAAGTGGAAAGGATATGCATGTATTGGGTGCATAATCACAGTAATAAGAGATTGAAAAGATATACAGGACTTATTCTAGCTTCATTTGTGTCAGTAAGGCATTGTTTCCTGTAATACAGTCTTAAATACTTTCTTCATTAAAATTTTAGAATGCTCAACTCCGGAGTGAAACGCTTCTGTTCATTTTCTGCTTAAAAAATAATGTCTGTCTACTGAAATTGCACTGTTATATTTAAAAATACCTTAACGGGCTGGTTTTTAATGAGCAGTTCTTTTCTTTTCTGATAGCAGTGTACTTTTTCCGTAGCAGTGGAACAATTCGTAAATAGTTAACGAGAAGGATAACCATACTTGTGCACTTGAGTAACAGTCTTCATGGAGAGCTTCTCTATCGTGCCCACAGGTGCATGGCAGCTTTATCAGGAGCAACATGTCAGATTTTGAAGAGAGATGGAAGTTACCTACAGGTTTTCCAATCTTACTGTGATTGAGTACAAATCTAAGGCTTATTTGCTTAAACCAGAAGTATCCAAAGTAATCCAGATTTCTGTAGGACATGATAGCGATTAAAATAAATTTGGTTTTAAGTTACTGTGTTAAAGCCTTTGATTTGTATGTTTCTTTTGCCTTGTTTGTATTTCAGCTGTTCAGTTTATAGTTTATCCCGGTCATCTCTTCCGCAGCATTGGAACCTAAATACATTTATTGTGTTCTGTCAATTATGTGGTAGTGAATTGAATTACTCTGTTTTTAATTAAGACTCTTCAGGTTTAGTAAAGAAATAATGTGAAGCACAATAGCCTGATCCTTAATATCTTCTTGATCACAAGTCAAGTCTTCTATGTAATTTATTAAAGTAGCGTAATGTCCTTACATTTGAGGTTAATATTTTGCAGGCTTTGCAGAGATTTTTATGCATAAGGGAAAGATGAAACTCTAAAAATATTATTTCAGCAATTTCATAATTTTGAATTGTGACCTCATGCTCTAGGAATAAGTATGGCACATTACCATCAGCAGTTTATCAATATTCATTCAGAAACTTCTTAGACTCTTTTCATATCATGTTTTTTTGGTTTATTTTTGTCATGCAATCATAGTAACTTAAAGGTAGCTAGTGAATGCCTTAAGAAGGAACAGACTGCCGAGAGCGGTTGTGGATGTCCTGTCCCTGGAGGTGTTCAAGATTGGATGGGGTCCTGGGCGGCCTGGTTTAGTATTAAATGGGGAAGTTGGTGGCCCTACATGCGGCAGGGGGGTTGGAGATTGATGATCCTTGAGGTCCCTTCCAACCTGGGCCATTCTGTGATTCTTTGAGAAGCTGAGCCTCAGCCAGTGGCATTATTTATTTGGGGGGATACTAACTAGTATCTACAGTATTTGTGATGGCTCTTTTTATTCCGTATTTTTCCTGCATTTTTATTTAGTTGTTACACCCCCTGCTGCCACTTGGGACCCGTGGTTCTGGGAGTTGTCCTAGTGGCTACAGGCAGCCCTTGGGGTTGATGTTTGTGGCTGCGTGGTAGGAGCTCGTCAATTGTGCTTTGGCTGTGGCCACAATGAGTGTGCTGTGACTGCAAGACCAGTTCATGCAGAAATGTGAGGAATGCTCCATCGGTTTCAACTGTCACTGATGGCAGAAAAGGTACGATAACTTACTCAGGCTTCTATGACAGCTTAGAACAAGTCTGTCATTTTAAATTCTGTGGTGGTATTGCAGAGGTCCACGATCAAGATGGTGAAACATTGAGAGCCAACCACATGGAAATCCTAAATCATTAGCTTACACATCTCTCCAGTTTATTAAAATGCCCATCTGGCATCTCTGCCCAAGCATTAAATGAAGTTCTCCAGCTGCCTACCCAAGAGCATCTGGCATGAAAACTTGTGTCTGTGCTGTAACTACCACAGAGAAGGGCAGTAGGCACTTGTGATGCTTCTGCTGGAATGTTTGGGAAGAGAACACTACCTGGCGTCACAAAGGCACAGCTACTTATGGACACCAAGAAATTCAAGGTTTCACGCTTTAAACTCTACAAGAAGGTTACAGCTCACTCTTTGGAAGTCATCTGTTGCTTTTTGCAAGGAAAAAGGAACTTCTACCTTTGGACACAGGGCCAGAAGACCCAATGGTTTGTTTTGTTTGAGGAAGAGTTAATGCAATCTTATGGCCAAGGAAATCTGAATAAAGGCCTGCGTATAATTTTTGTTAAGTAAACTAAAGCCTGTAATACCATAATATTAAGGGTTTCTTTAAGCTTAAAAAAAAAAATGAGTTGTTTGGGTAGACTCATGAATTGGCAGCTCTGACAGGTGTTTTCAATTGAGGGAGAGCATAAGAGCTTTTGATGGTCAGAAGGCCGTGGAGCAGGACTTCATCTCCACCCTGATCAGCCTTGGTATCACGTAGCCAGAGTTGCTTCATGACATGTCTAGAGTCTGTGACAGGGGAAACTCCCTGTGATATGAGATCGGTGAAACTTTTATCTTTCAGCAGTTTTTGCATCAAATCCAAGGTCTGATAACTTGCAACTTGCTCTTTCTCCCAGGGCCCGCATGTTGATTCCCCATTGTCTGAGAGCCAAGAGGGGATCCGCTCCCCTTATCGTTCCGCTGAACAGCTTGACCTGAGCACTTCTGTAAGGAAAACTGAGGCTCTGCTTCAGCCTCTTTGAGGAAAACATGAATGTGAGCAGCACGAGCTTGCTGTTTGTAGATGATTTCTGCTACTTCTGCATGAAGTTGTCTGAATGCTGTGGTTGACGACTCAGTCGTGAAAGGGGATAACAAAAGTCAGAGCAGCATTTCTGAGATTAAAGCAGTTTCTGGAATGAAAAAAAAAGAAAAAGCTGAACTTCAAACAAATGCTTGGTGTGCATTTACTTTTGTTAACATTCTTCTGTGTGACTACGAAATTTGGGTAGCAGCCTTGTTTCTTCCAAACATTACTCAGTTCCTCTTGGGCAACCTTAGAGTGTTCTCTTGCTAGTATAAAAGGCCCGGAAAAGGTTTTAGGTACGGCATTATTACATGTGAAAAAAATACTCAGGTTAGAAATGTAATTTCTGTAGGTACAAAAGCACTGATGCAGATTTTCACAGGGTGGACAATGTGATGCATAAAGCCACTTTGCATGCACTCATTTCCTGATGCAAGCTCAGGAAATGTTGCAAATGTGTCTTCAGTCAACATCCACATATGGATTCTAAAACCACAGAAAAGAAGACAGCTGTAGGAGGATATGCTGTCTACTGTGGTGAAGTTTCGCAGATTCGATAGTCAGACTTGTATAGGTATATGCAAAACCAAAATGAATTACCCAGGGAAAACAACCAAATAAAAAATAAGTGAAATCAGATGGGCTATCTGTAACTGTTAATGTGCTGCAAAAATGGGATTAACATCTTGCCAACTGAAGTCATAAAATGCTAACTCTTCCTACACTGAATAATATGACTTAATTTGTCATTGAAATGGGAACTCCTCTTGCCAGAGGTATGCAAAAGACTTTCTAAGACGTGTAGAAGTAATTGATTGTGCCACTTCTAATGTACAACGTGACTGGCCTGCTGTCTTGTGTACACCCATTTTAGAGGAAATAGCTAATTAGCTTCAGCTATTTTAATTTGAAATACGTATTTGAAACAAAGCAACGTTTGGCTTTGTACCTGATCCATTTGGACCACAGTCTTCTGCTGGCTTTGAAGAGAGGAGCACCAGTGCCTGCATGGCAGCTCTAGCGGATGTGAGGCTTGAGAGACTTCAGGTTTTGGGTCTCTGCCTGCGTGGACGTTTGGAGGGCAGATGCTGTGGGGCTGTGTACTTTAATGGCAGAGATAATGCTTTTTGAATAAGGAACTGTGTGTGAGGGACCAAAGCTTAAAAGGGATTATAGGTTTTTTGGCACTTCTTTCTTGCAAGTTGTTCACAGTAGTGGGTCCAGCAGAACCTGAGGCAGAGGTTAGCTTCCTAAGGAAATCCAGTTTTATGTAACTGGGCTGACTACACCTTCCCCACCTAAAAAGCTTTGATTGCCATCCCAGTTAATCTAAATTTGACAGTGGATAGCTACTACCTGTTCCAGTTTGGGTGGTTACCTTTTATACTTTCCATTGCAGTAAGTGTCTAGTTAGAGTCCTTCCTATAAAAAATAAGAAAAAAGTGGTGTGTGCATTTTTCTCCTACTAAGCCTTGTAGATACTATGCGTGAAGGAGGGAGTTTTAGGAAACTGTTCTGTGAATCCTGCTACTCACTGATTTCACAAATAACAGTTAATCTTTTGTTGGAAAACCATAGTATAACCATTTTTGTACACTTTGGAGCTTAGCGCTGGCTGTCTTTTGTGTACGTTAATTGGGAATATGGAAAACAGATATGTAAGCAAGGAAGCATTTTAAGTCTTGTAACACTTTGCGAGCAGTGCAGAGCTGTGGGCTCTTGCACCAGGAACTGCGTGGATGGTAAGGGGGTGCAGAGGGGTGGCCGTAGGGGGATCTGGGCTCCTTTAGCAATGTTATAAAGTTCTCCTGTATTGCGATTGCTGCAGTGTTTGAAGCTGTGAAGCTCTTTGTTGAGTCGTCTTCTTTCTTTCCTATGTGCTTATTCTGCACGTTGTACACCTGTTCATAGCAGAAATTATTTCAGTGACTGCAGGGGAAGGAGTAAAAAAAAAAAAAAAAAAAAAAAAAAGATTGTTTGAGAACAGGCAGAAAATGCTTAATGAAGCAAAGAATGTGTGTCGTCAGGTTCTTTCTGTTTGGTTTTAATTGCTCTGTGTGGAACCTGTTGTGTCAGTGTGTGATGCTGTAGTTTAACAGTAAATTTAATACTGCAGTCCTTGCTACAGAGAATGGAAAGCCTGTGTCACAGGTAGGTTCTGTGAGTAGGATCTGAGGGGTGATGGCTTAGCAAGTAACACTGCTCCATCTGCTATACACCTTGATTACTATGTAAATTCTGTAAATTCATGCATAAACACATGATTACATGCACTCAGCTGTCAGTTTACCTCTACAGTAATGTGCTTCTGTACATAAACAGTTAAACATAGTTTTCTTGAGAAGGGAGGAATGGTGGCATTTTTAGTTATTGTACAAGCTATAATTCTCAATGAAGTTAAATGTAAGCTGCCTACTAAAATCAAGACCTACTATGTACTGGTAGAGAGCTTTGGCAATATACAGCAGAGGATTTAAGAAAAAAACTGTGGTTGTGTTTGTTGCAGAGCATAACTTCCTTGGTCTCTGTTTTGTTTAACACTCCCATTTTCTTTTAATCTTTGCTGTATGAGTTTCAGCTTTTCAGCCAGAGAGATAGGTAGGTACAGTGTTGCGTATCATTAGTATGGGAGCAGTAGAATGAATTTCAGTTGAATAAAAATGAATTCTTTGACTTGCAATTGGGAACATTTCTAGTTTGCCTTGACAATCCTGTCAAGACAAATTTGAACTTTGTCAGCATTTGCGATTGCTTGTGGGAGAATTACCAAAAGTCTTTGCTTTAGGTATCAGTCAGTGATTGCAACCCTCATCTGCTATTTGACCAAAATTTTCCATGGCACTCAGCAGGCTATTACTTGTCACTTTGACATATAATGGAGGGATATTTTAATTGATTTAAAAGTAAAAACTACAGTTATTTAATACAGTGTAACTGTATTACATGTCAGCAGTTACACTTGCTGTGAAAATGGGGAATTAAAAGCACTTCTACTGGGGAATATTTTAAAACTACGCTTGGAATTGATTATTTTTTTTTCTGCTGCCTGTACTATCAATAGAATTCTTACTCAGTTTAATGGGAGCAGAGATTTCCTGTTGTGTAATTATTGAGGATTTTAAAAGGATTCTTGAAAGTTAGCTGTGTACTTAGTAACTATAACCTGTATCTTCCAATATTGAGTAGTACTTCTGCTCAAAAGTCTGAGCTCTGATGTTGTTTCTTGACCTGAGCCATTCCTGTGTTTAAAAAAGGTACAAGTCCATGTGAATCCAAGGTATGTGAAGTTAAAAACTGAATCACTGTAAGGGTGTACAGCATGAGCATAGTTTGTGCATTTACAGGCAGATGCATGCTGGAATATGATGTCAGGTGCTTTAGCAATACTGTTCTCCTGGATGCCTTTCCAACTGGTGATGGTGATAAGTTTAAAGCATCTTTTTCTGTACATCCATTTCAAAACAAGCTCTTCTGCAAGTGAGCACAGTGAAGAGTGGATGGTCCTAGAAAGATGAGTGGCTCACAGCTTCTCTTTCTCTTGAAGTTGTTCAACTTACCTTTTGGAGTTAGGAAGAAGAAAGGAAAGAAGCTGACAGGTGTGAGTCCCCTACATGCCTGCCTTGTACTGCCTACGATACAGGCACGTTCTTCTCCCCATAATGCTTGTACTTTCCTCCAAATTCCTTGCACTGTCAAAAGGTAGCAAAAGCCTGCAGAAGTGTCAGGGGGGGAATAGTAAAGGAGGCTGAAGACGAAGTCACCTTGGCTTTTCCACCTTTACAGAGCAAGAGAAGATGCTTTACTGGAGTTATGAGACTAGGAAGGTAGAAACTACCCCTACAGCTGTGTCGTTTCCTAACTGCAAGCCATTGTATTTCTTTTATCAAATAAGAATTATATGCATTCAAACGTTGAACAGCTTGAATTTCTTAAAATAGAAAAATAATTTGATAAAATGAAGCCTTCATTATTTCAAACAGTGTTTTTAGATATGGCAGAATCTATTTCAAAATAATATGACTTAAAGCACCTGTTAGTCAGAGACGGTGGTAAAGTTGGAGTTCTGCTTTTACTGTAGTGCCTGAAGCAGGTGCCACGCTGGCTGCTTCCAGTAAAACATAAAGCATCAAGCCGAACCTTATTGAGGATTATTACCTTTCAATTAGTAAGATCGTCTTCAGAGGGCTTTATCTTTTCCCAGCCTTCCTTTGGCAAATCCACATAGGGCACGTGAAGGCCGGTCGTCTCAGGAACTCCTTTTGGGCTTCAGTCTTTTTACTTGATTCTGTGTGTTAATTCATACTAAACAGTGCTGTGAGCTGTCTGGTGCCTTTCATTTCCCCTAGGTCGTGTTATAAAATTTAGATTACCACGCAGGATTTCTTACCTTTGTTTTCTGTTCCTGTGTGGAATTACACTATAACACACACAGGCACTGAATGCCAATATGCTTTTGACATACGTACTAATTTTGTCTTGCTGGATGTGGGGGCAAAAGGGAGTTGAAAGGGCAAAATCCTCCCACCCCCCATTAATGTCTTTCAGCTCGTGTAATAATTATACATGTTGCCTTTAGAAGCCTGCGGAATTGCTCTTATGAGTAAAGGTCTGCCATACTGGGGCTTTTATTTGACAAGTTGGAAAATAGCCTTTGTTCCCATGGTAACCCTTTTTGTGCTTTGGTGCATTTTTTCCCTATGGCTTCATGGTTGCTCTGGAGGTTTTTCTCTTGTGGTATTTTAATCCCCATTAGTCTGGGATGGCAGTTCAGTTTACTTTTTGCTATTCTGAAGTATTTTAATTTTTCTCTTTTATTTCAATATGGAACTCTTATAAACTATATTTTTATTATCTGGCTAGGGCATTAATGCTGTGGTGGCGCTCTCAGTAAATGTAGCGTGCACTTAGAAGGTAAAGCACATAGTTTCTAATAGGAAAGTTGGTCTGATTGGACCAAGCTGTTTTTGTTTTAGACTAATTTTTCTGATAAAATTTTTTAGGACTTGTGTTCTTTTAGGACTTACGGTGCCAAGCCCTTGGCAGGCACATCAGTCAGATTTCTGGCTTGGCGACAGAATGACATTTCTTTAAGTTGAAAATGGTCAGTACTCTG